CAGAAAGCGAGAAATCACCCCCCAGGGGGGATGGCCACACCACAATCCCTTCTCCTCCATTCTCCTCTTGGGATCTTGAGCACGCACACACACACACCCGGTGTGAGTTTTAAGCCACCAGGTCTGGGACGCGAACTGCGGTCGACTATGTGGAAGTCCAGCGACATAGCCATTACGCTAACTGCTGGTCCCTGTGAGCTTCCTTTTCTCACTGGGCCTGGTTTTCTTCCTGCCAAAACAAAACCAAAGTACAGCCTCTCACAGTTCCTAAGGGTCACAGGTCATTATTTTTACCACAAGAGGCACTAGCTTGTTTTCCCTAGGTCTACTTTAAAATAAAAATAAAGAATTCTAATAGGACTGGCCTGGGCAATGTCACCCCAGGATGAATCAAGCATACCCTGGACTTGGGCTCATGGGAGTACTGGTAGGCCCTAAAGAACCATGTGACTAGAAGAGAAGAAGACTGGCCCCTAGAAGGGGAAGTGCAGTTGTCAGTAGAAAAGGAAGAGTAGTAGGAAAATCAAATATTTGCACTAGAAGAGTTTTCTGTGTCCTGAAGGGACCTGCCCTTGTGCGTAAGTATAACACAAGGCGGATTTAAGCTCCTGTGAATGAAGTAGGCTAAGAAAGGTGTGTGTGATGAGTGCTGGATAGGAGAGAATAAAGAAGAGAAGGGTTTTGGCATCATTCTTAAATTTCTTAATACAAAAAGGGAATTTGCCCTTCAATGTCACCTCATTTCACAAGAGTGTGCAATCAGAAATTTTATAAACAGCTTGTAGGAGAGTGACACAAACCTGTAAGGACCCAAGAGCTTACTTATAGGATTCTTGTACCTGGTCCCCTACCTCTGACCCCAAGAAGCAGGAGCAAGCAGCACCAGCCATCCACTGGTCCTTAACTGTTTGTCTCTGTCCCATTCAACGCTGCTGAAAAAATACTGTGGTTAACTATAGAGTCATTGTATGAAATGTCACTGGTTAGGATATCTACATGCATTCTCCACTCTGACTTAAATTGAACAATTTTATCGAAATAAAAATACTATTTATGGAGCTTCAGGAGGCTGACCTGTCATCAGCTATAACCTTCTGATGAAATTAAGCCAATGGAAAAAGTCAGCAAAAAGATGGAGGGGAGGGTGCAAGATTGGGGGCATTTATCTCCTTGGCTCCATGCCTGTGTGTTCATCTCAGACTAGTTACATCCCTCGACCAAAAGATAAAAGCTGCTCTTTTCATTTTTTGTTTGTTTGTTTTTGGTTTTGTTTTTGTTTTTTGCTAGAAGGCATGGGCACTTGCCAGAGAGAAACAGAGTGAGAAAGGGAAGGTGAGAAAGCTCTCCCCACATGGGAATGGTCACACTGCAATCCCTTCTCTATTTCTCCTTTCAGAATTTGGGCACACACACACACATGCATCAGATATGTTTTTCAAACCTCTGAGCATGAGACTTAAACCATGCTGTTGGCACATGGGATCCATCCATTTTAACCACCATGCCACGCTGGCCCCATAAAGTGCTTTCCAGGGAGCGCGTGCCACATGACTCTACTGGGATGTAGTTAGAGCTGTCTTCTTACAGTCTTCAAGTCTGGATGGAATGGGGATTAAATCCTCATTTCACTAGCACAGCGGTACCTCTCTATCCCTGTGATTTCCTACACCCCCTCGTATCTTCGGGAAGAGTTCTTTTAGTGTGTCATATGTTTCCTTCAACCCTGACTGATACAGTCATTTAAAATAAACACTTATTAATAGATACCCATAAGTCTTCCAAAAGAATAAGGGGCCAGATGGTGGCCCAGTGGAAAAACATGTCACTTTATGAGGCTGATCCACACAGCAAGGTTCCAGGTTTGCATCTGGAGACCTTGAGTACATCTGGCATGCCCGGCTCAGTCCATGATTGGCTGGGGCAGATTATGACATCAAGACCCTGTTGGGTGTGCTGGCTTCTCTGTCTTTCTGTCTCTCTGTTGTTCTTGCTCATGGAAGAAATAAAATTTAAAAAGAGAATCAGGTATAAGGATTGATCTCATTTATTCATCTTTATCAATTCAACAAATAATGATGTAGCCTGTGTATAGGTGTGCATGCCATTCTATGACATGAGCAAACAGCCAGGGAGGTGATGAGGCTAGTGTGTCTTGGGTGCAGGATTACGAAGATTCATCTGAAACTTCTGCTCTGAGTGTGAGCTTAATGTGGTTGAGGACACAGGTTCTCCATTAGGCAAACCTGGTTGTGTATACTGGCTTGGCCATTGTATGCCTCAGGACAGGCTACTCAATAATTTAAATCTTTGTGTCCTCCTCTGTGAAATGGAGAGAGATTCAGCTCTGAGATCTATTTGTATAGTATGTAAGGTAAGTAAATACAAAATACTCATTGCAGTGTTTGACATATAGAAAAGAAAAAGTAGCCATTATTTGTACAATGATTATGATCTATAAATTGTTTAATTTCATTTAAATTCAGAAACCATGCATTAAATATTTCTTATGCCTTTAGCATTGTATTAGACTCTGAATAGGGTAAAAATCTGATCTTGTTTACCATTTCACTAGAGAGAAATGCAGGTATTAGCTGTTATCAAATGGATTAGGATCCAGAGTAGTGATGGGGACTCCCTGCATTGGAAATAGAGGAGAGGGGATGATTTTTACTTGAGAGGAGAAGAAAAGCTACCAGGAGAAGACATCTGAGCTGAACTTGAAACATGAGTGGATATTCTTAGAGTAACAAGATGGGGGATGGTGTCCCATATGAAAAGAAGGCAGGAGCAAAGACACACCCTTTAAAAATCAGCTGGAGCCTAGGACTGGGGCAGCATGCACATGGGGGCTGTGGTGGCAGAAGAGGTCATAGGTTGGGTAAGAACCAAACATTAGAGAGGGACCTGGCAGGTGGCATGGTGGTTGGGGTGCTGGACTCCCACATGGCCAACTGTGGTTCAAGTCCTGGATCTGGTGGCTTGCTTCCTCATTTTCCCTTTCTCTATCTCTCTAGTCAAATAACATTAATAATCATGACCATGATGATAACTAAAATTAAATCTTTCTATAAAAAGAAAGATTGAAGGAAGAGGTGTCAGAACTGGAGTGCCAGTTAGATGGTGAAATAAGTCACTAGCAAGAGACTCCCAATGTCACACCTCAACAGTACTGAACACGCTTTTTAGTCTGGTAAGCATTCTCTCTCAGAGGACCTCACTGCCAATATAATTAAGAGCACTTGTTTCCTTAGTGGTCACCCAGAAGAGTCAATGTTTCTCCATGTTTCAGTGTTCTTTTGGTTATGATCTTAACGGCTTCTTAGAGATTCCATATTGTATTTTCAGGTCCTACCAAACACTTTCCTGTGGTCACCGTCAATCATATTTTGAAAGATGTTTTAACCAATTATCTCCAAGAGGAAGAATATGAACCAGAGCTCTGTAGACAGATGACTAAAACAATTGCTGAGGTAAATGTATGATTTGCCCTCAGTGTTAACCATGTAACTAGAACATTTGCTGAAAGCAACCCACCCTCTACTTTTTGATGAAAGGAATTAATTTGCAGTTAAAAACACATATTTATATTTTATAAAAATTTTCTTTTGATTGAACCGGCTGGTGGTGTGGTGACTTTGGTGGCTGGATTGCACATGGCCAACTGTGTGGTTCAAGTCCTGTACCCAGCAGCTTGAAAAAAGTGCCTGTGCATGCCTGCCCAAAATCCTGAGAGGAGAAGGAGGAGAAGGGACAGAGCGGCCATCCTCCATGGAGGATATTTTCTCATTCTCCCTTTCTCCCTCTCTCTCCCTACTGAGTGCATATGAGAAGGCATATGCCTTCTAGTATATTTAAAATACATGTTTATTGGGTCATATATTTATGTGTGTGCATAAGAAGCCTTTGTCTAAAACAAACATTATGTGCATCATTTGCAGGTATTTTGTTACAAAACTTTTGAAGCTGCCCCATTTATAAAACACGCTCTTTTAAAAGATATATTTTAATGATCATTTTAGCTTCACCAAAACAGCTTTTTAGTGCCAATAAACACAGACATTGTGGTCTTAAATACATTTCTGTTTTTACCAACCAAATTGCTGGCACTTCATCAAGGGTTTCTTATTTTGTTTTTTATAACAAACTCTTTAATAAACATTCATGATTAGTCATATTAGTCTCTTAGGAGACTCCAGATATATGGTCCCTTAATTAGCCACGAATTGGCGGTATAACTCTAACGCCAACCTTCTTTGAAGGGAAGCCATCTTAACATAGATTCTAAAAGAATGCAAAAATTGAATTATGTGCCCTGGATTATCATTTTTCCAGGTACCTTGGAAAGTGTAGATTTATTGCTGGTGTTATCATTTTGTTTCTGAATAGCCTACCTCATGAGGCCAGAATATGGAAGAAATCATAGTAAATTATGGTTCTAAAACAATTATTGAATTTATCTACAATGCATTACGCCATTTTTAAAAAGTATGTCCACTCTATTTATAACAAAGTTTAAAGTTCTTGAGTTTTATTGTGGTTAAATGGGAAACTTGTTTGTTTTTAAATTTCTAGGTTATTAAAGCCCGGGTCAAAGACTTGATGATTCCACGGTATAAACTAGTTGTGATTATTCACATTGGACAACTGGCCAATCAGAGCATACTTATTGGAAGCAGATGCCTCTGGAACCCTAAAAGTGATAACGTTTCATCTTACATTTTCAGAAACACTTCTCTTTTTGCACTTGCAAATGTCTATGCAGTTTACCTTGAGTGATTGAAAATAAAGAAATCTAGACCTGACTTTTTAAAATCATGAAATGGGAACTGTCTATGGACATAAAAGTTTTACTGCTGAAAACTGTTATGAAACAACACAAATACTTCAAATAGGAGGAAGCTTTGGGACTCTTTCATACACTTTTAAGGATTGAGGGAGAGAGGAGTGGCAGAAGAAAAACTTTTTTTATCCAAAGCGGGAATTAAGTTTTAGTTTTGCTAGATCGTTTTTCACAGACATAAGATTCTTATTAAATATTACTTTTGGCACTAATTATTTTAATTACTCTTTAATTAAAGAGAATTTCCTGCATTACTTTTTAATGAAGAGAAGCTTCTATATACCCTGACCAATAAATGACAGTAGAACATTCTGCATGGTATACACAAATGATAAATGTTAATATGCCTCCATGCTGCATATAAAAGAATACTGGTTTTCATTTTGCACTTAATAAATTGAGCAGCATTCATTAACTGCAATTATTGTTACATGTACCTGACAGTTGAAACTGCTGAGGTAGAATTAATGACTTCATAACAATTATTGTGGTCCCATGAGGCTGTAAGCTAAAACTAGAAACTCTTGTGGGTTGTCTGCACTTTACAAAATTGTGGGTGCACTAAACGTTGGTTCCTCAATAATGGAAACTATAAAGTGAACAAAGGCTTTCTTAGACCATTGAAGTAGACGTTGTGATATTAAATATACATGACGCTTATTAGTAAATGTATGTGTAACACATAAAATCATGTATTGGAAAGAGACACTGCTTTTAAATATACACTGCCCGATGTGCCTTTGAATAGGTTTTCCTAGGCTAATGAACTTTTACACAAAATATATAGCTGGAAGCTTAACAAATAAAGCATGTGTATTTACCATTTTGTTCCTATGAGTTTAATACTAAAGTGACCCAGTGCGGTTTTGAGTGGATGGACACTAAAATTTACAGGGCTGAACTAGCTTATTATTCTGCTGCCTAATGTATCTTGTACCATGGATCATTTATTTTTATGGCGCTTTCAAGCCTTTGTGTGCATGTAAAACGATGCTGTGGCGTTGTTCTTGGATGGTAAGTGGACTGCCTAGAGGACATTTGTTAAAGGTCAAAGACAAATTGTACACATATGGAGAAAATTAGCAATGCTATAGTCCTAGGGGGAAAAAAATGATGTGTACTTCATATGAAAAAGAGTTTAACAAATGGAAGACGAATCCATGCTTCATCATTTTTAAATGTTTTGGTGTCTTTGCCCCAAAATGACATGTGGTAAAAAATGGATACTTTTAAAATCTCTTGCCTTCTGCTTGTTCTGGCTCTTAAAATTGCTTTTTAAAATGAGTTTGTCAATGTTCGGTGTGTTTTCTGTTAATGTGTGAGTGGGAATTCGTCTGTGTCGTAATTTATACCAACCAATATTTGTCGATCCCCGTAGACCAGTTTTGAGTCTGGATTAGGTTACAAGTATAGTAAGTAAATGAGCTTTGTATTTTCATTACACATTTGTGAACATCTCCTGTGTTGGAACAACAGCAGGAGCAATAATATAGCAATTTTGCATGAATAAATCACAAGGAAGAAACTTCTTGAGTATATGGAAAGTCTATTGTAAAGCTGTCTTAATTTTTTTTAGAGTTCTAAATTTTAACCCATAAAATAATTTATTCCCATCTGCCTTAGGTTGTGTTGGAAATCAAAACCTTGAAACATGATGACTGTTATAAAAAAAGAAGAAAGAAAAAAAAGAAAGGAAGCAATTTGCCAGCATATTGCCATGTGTCATAATTCAGATCTTCAATGATGAATTCTAGCAGTTCTATAACACTACAGGAATATATGGTGAAAACTCAGGAACTGCAAGTACTTGAGAGAATGCTGATTATCACAAAAAGACTTGTTATAGAAAAGGTTTTTTTATTGAATTATCTTATTTGAGTATTTATTTATTTTTCTTTTTTTGAGAGGTTTTTGTTATAGGGCACGTGTGCTCGCCAGAAAGACAGAGAGAGACAGAGAGATAGAAAGCGAGAAATCACCCCCTGGGGGGATGGCCACGCCACAATCCCTTCTCCTCCATTCTCCTCTCGGGATCTTGGGCACACACACACATGCGCCTGGCATGAGTTTTAAGCCACCGGGTCCAGGACATGAACAGCGGTCGACTACGTGGGAGTCCAGTGACATAGCCATTATGCTAACTGCTGGTCCCATATTTGATTATTTATTTAAATTTGACCAGAGGGGGACAGAATGAGAGAGTGAGGGAGAAAGAGAGACAAAAAGTGAGAAAGCAAATCGCCAGACCCAGGACTCAAACCATGGTTGACTATGTGGGAGTCCAACACCCTTAACCACCATGCCACTTGCCGGCCCTGATATAAAAGATTGTTTTAAGAATTATTTATTACTTTTATTTTTTATTTGCTGTAGGACACATGCAATTACCAGAGAGACAGTGAGAGAGAGTGAAAGTGAGAAAGCAAGCTGCTAAGTCTAGGACTCGAACAGTGATCAGCCATGTTGGAGTCCAGCACTTCAATCACCAGGCCACCTGCTGACCCCATCATAGGAAATTTTTAAGAAATGTGAAGGAATCATTTTATTATAAAACACCCTGAACTCTCCTGTTTTTTTTCTCTCTCAAGTGTTCCTGAAGAGCCATCCTTCTTGGGGGTCATGACACGTGCTTGTCCCAACCCAAGAGCATCCTTTTTCCACATTAGCAAAGTTCTTCACTTTTCAGCATCATGTTCAGGTCACACGTTTTCCCTCATCCTTCTCCATATGGCCTTCGCTTCCTCCCCACTCTCTTTCTTCTCTGATCACTCTTACAGTTACACTCCTGATTGTTCTCCAGCTAATTTTTTAATATTAGCTTTGTTTCTCTCACTAGATTGAGGACATTGAGTAGATAGACTATATACCCTGAAAATACCTACAATAAAACTGAAACTTTACTTATTTTGTTAGAGGTTTTGCCTTAGGGCACGTGCATTCTCCAGAGAGAGAGAGAGAGAAAGACAGAAACAGTGAGAGGGAAAGTGAGAAGTCACCCCCCAGAGACATGGCCACCCCTTAATCTCTTCTCTTCCATTCTCCTCCTGGGATCTTGGGCATACACGCACACATGCTCAATATAAGTGAGTTTCAAGCCATAGGGCCCAGGACTTGAACTGCCATTGGCCATGTGGGAGTCCAGCAATGCAACCACTAAACCATCTGCTGCTCCTCTCATCTTTCCTTTTAATTCAAGAATCATATGCATTGCACTGTGCTACAGAATTCCCAGCTACAGAGATGATAGCAGTGCAAGACCCTCAAGGAACAAGAACCCATAGGGAGGATAAGAGAAGTACACAAGTGACCACAGTACAGACTAGACTATATCATCATAGGGAAAGTTTCTAATGTCTTTATCTGAGTAGGGAAATCATAGAAGGCTTCATGGAAGGAAACAGCAATTTAGACTGCGAAGGAGATAAGTATTAGAGAATTTCAACAGAGAGAGAAATATAGGAAGAAGTCTAGATTGGATAAAACATAGCATTCATGAAGATAAGTGGCTAAAACTAACATGGTGAATATCTGGGTAAGAAAACTACACTCAGACCCATACTTTGGGTAGTCATTGAAAGCTTTTCATCAGGCTAATAGTGTAAATGAAGTGACTCTCTAAGATGAGCAGGAAGACCATTATCAGGATAGGTGAGAGGAAATTCATCAGGCTGATGGTGTAACTGAAGTGACTCTCTAAGATGAGCAGGAAGACCACCATCAGGATAGGTGAGAGGAAATGAGACTCAACTAGGCAGTGGCATTGAAAATAGAAAGGAGAGGACCGTTCTATGGGACCTTAGAGGGATGAGGTTCATGTGAATAGGCCAAGGGGAAGGAGAAATCAGAAGTGATGCTAAGGCAATATGACAAGGCAGTTTAAAGTTTCAAGCAGGAAGCGTTTATGATACTAAATATAATAATAATAAATTTTAAAATAGAATAAAATACAAAAAAATAATAAAATACTAAATTTAATTTTGGATTTATTGAATTTTAGTTAATAATGATACATTAAGGTAATGATAGCCTCAGGAAACAGGAAGTGGGACTGGAGTTGCGCTACATCATCAAGGTGAGAGATTTCAACTTGGCAGTTATCCAAAATGAGACATAACATCTTCCTCCTGCTTTATAAAATATTCATTAGCAGAATCTTCAGCGAGTATAGTGAGTATTAATAGTAAATTACTGAAAATTCATTTAGCTCTGGAAGCATCAGCCAGAAACTATCCCTCAAACAAATCAATAAAAAAATTTTCCCCAATCAAAATGAAATGATGTTGTTATGTTTTATTTTATTTAGAAAACCTCCTATATGATCCCCCTCTGTTGTCAAACAAGGTAAGAAATCTAAAGATTTTCAAAAAAAGGTGAGCCTCTCAAATGGATGCATCAATACTGGCACCTGCTATTTTTGTTAGTAGAATGACTAAAGAAACCACATAATAGGAGGTTTTTACAACAGAGACCAGCAGATTACGTGCTGAGAAATTAAACCCTAGTTTAGTTTAGTCATTTTTAAAAACTCGAGAAGTATCTAGCACATTGAAAGTGATTTTAAAAACAGTTGAATCTAACCATCTTTGAGAATTAACACTTTCCTTGTTGAGATCATCATTTCACTTGTCTTTCTAGATATTACCAAAAAAAAAGGCATTAAGAAAATGCAACATTGAGGCCAGTAGGTGACATAGGGGTTAAGGTGATACACTTCTACATGGCTGACCGTGGTACAAGTACTAGACCCCATGGCTTGAAAATTACACCAGGTATGTGTGCTTGTGTATCCAAAATCCTGAAAGGAGAATGGAGGAAAAGAGATTGTGATGTGGCCATACCCCCTGGGGGTGATTTCTCACTTTCCCTCTCTCTGTCTCTTTCTCTCTCCTATGAGTGCACACACCCTATGGGGAAAAAAAATCTTTAAAAAAAGGAAAGAAAACTCAATATTAAATAATTATTGACAATTTACTATGCTTTTTCTGTTGTCGAAATTCTCATAAAAGAATAGTCTGTATCCACTACTTCTGATTGTCTCTGTTACTTTCACAGTCTTCAGTCTGGTTCTTATCCCCCACACAGTATTGCTTTCACAACAGAAAAAGTGATCCCTAAGACCACATCTACAGAACATTTCTCCAGCTATATTCCACTTCACTCGTCTTCTGAATTCATTTCTTTGGAGTGACAAAGTAATTTTTTTCTTAAAGTGTAGATTCGACAGAAAACATCTTAAGTGTACAGCCCTACCTATGTGACTATAGGCCAAGTGGCTAGTTATCTTGAGCCTCAGTTTCTTCAAAAGTCAAAGTTACTATAACTAACGGCCAACAGGTGGAGAGGTGGTTAAGGCACTGGACTCCCACATGGCTGACTATAGTTAAAGTCCCCAACCTGGGAGCTTGAAAATGACACTGAGCATGTGTGCATGA